CTTAATCGATAAAAAAACCCATTTTTTAACACCAGTATGGTGATGCTATACACCACAGAAACATGGAAAACCACAAGATTTCAGGTGGTGACCCATAGGGCCGTGGAAAGATGAATGGCAGGTATAAATGAGCTGAATAACGTTAGCATTGATAACTTGTGTGAAAGAAGTGGAGTAAAAACACTGCCAAGTAAATTCATGATCAGAAAAGGAGGTTGGCCAGTCATTCAGCAAGAATGAAGAACAGATGACGGTAAGAGGGTTGTATTGCTACCCAAAAAACGTTAAAAGAGCCAGAGGAAAATTTCCAGCCCATTGGGTGGACCCCCTATGGAAACCCACAGCAAGAATGGCGCAGGATGAAAAGAAATGGATGGTATGCAATCTGCACAGGTGAAGGGAGGACCCACCTTAAGAAGATCATATTCATAATACCAACACAAAATGAGGCAATAATACTTGTGCTAACATCCTCACAGGATTGGTGTTGCTGTGAAGGGATGGGCTTTTGTTATATATGGCAGGCAGCATAGCACGGTAGAAAGAGAACTGGATTTGTAGTAGGAAGAGCTGGGTGAGAATCCCAGCTTTGCCACTGACTAAAGGCAGCTAGGTGGCATAGTAGGTGGTGCTGGACCCTGGAGGCGGGGAACCGAATTCAAATTCTGCCTCAGACACTTCCTAGCTTTGTGACGCTAGGCAAAACAAACTGTCTCATCCTCAGCTTCCTCAACTATAAAATGGAAATAACAATAGCATCTACCTCCCAGAGTTGTTGTGAAAATCAAATAACATGACATATGTCTTATGTAAAATATTCTGTAAACCTTAGGCTACTATGAAAATGCTAGCTGCTATTCTTGTTGTTATGTAGGTGACTCCAACCAAATCTCTTCACTTCTCTTCCTCATCTATAAAATGAGAAGAACTGGATTAGATGAACTCCAAGGGCCCCTACAGCTCTTAATCTATGATCCTATGATATTTGTGTTATTATTATTTTCATGAGAAGGGGTTTGGTTCCTATTTCCAAATGCCAAACATTTCTAGGCCTCAGCTAATACTCTTGGATCAGTCAACTTGCTTATCTCCAGAGAGGCAACCAGTAGATATTAGTCATATTGAAAAAGCTTAGATCATTTGTCCATTATGGAAAATTTCTAATGAAATTAAATTTGGAGCTACAGCATGTCTCCATCCTTTCCCAATATTACAAAGGTAGCTCATTTTAAAAGCAAGCTTATGTCCAGAAGGAACATAGACTTCTGGGTCTTATTCCCATTGGCACACAGGAGAAAATAGTTTCCCCCTCAGTCTTCTAGGCTTGTGATAGAAGAAAAGGCATCAGACCAGAGGTAACAATGAGGTGATCTTGAAGGCTTTTCCCTTCCATAAATCTTATAAACTGTGAAACCACACAGCAATATAATCATGCTCAAACAATCAGTCAACAAGCATTTTAATTAGGTGCCTACTATGTGTCGGGTGCTTGATGTGAAAACACAAAAAGTAAGACAGTTCTTGCCCTCATGTATCTTCCATTCTACTGGGGGATCTGATGTTTATATAGAAGTAAATAGAGGATAAATATAAAACAAATGCTCAGTGGTTGGGGGTGGGAAGTTCACTAATAATTGAGGGGAATTCTTTGTGAAGGAATTGACCCTTCAGCTAAGCCTTGAAGGGAGTTAGGGGTTCCCTTAGGCAGAGGGAAAGCATTCTAGGTATGGCAGACAACAACCTATGTGAAGGCTCAGAGAGGCAAAAGATGGGGCTATAAGTAGGCCAGTTTGTCTGGAATGTGAGAGTGCATGAAGGAGTTGTGTGGGAAAAGTAGGCTAGAACCTGTATTAAGATCACATGCCAAAAAAGAAGAGTTAAGGTTTTATCCTAATGTCAATAGTAACCAATGAAATTTCATTACCATGAAATAATATGGTCATATCTGTATTTCAGGAAAAGCAATTAGGTAATTATGGGGAGGGGAGAGAAATTGGATATAGGGAGATCAGTTAGAAAACTTTTAATAATTGGATTGAGATATGATGAGGTCTGGACTAAGGTGGTAGTCATATGAGTAGAAAAAAGGAGATGAATTTGAGAGATATTAAGGAGGTAGAATTGACAATTCTTGGCAGCAAACTGTCTATGGGAAGCAAAGGAGAGTAAAGAATTTGGAGGGATTCCTAGGCTTCGAAACTACTTGAATGAAAAAAATGATGATGCCCTTAACAGAAATAGGGGAGTTTTTAAAAAGGGATCGATTTAGGGGAAATGCTAAGATCCATTTTGAACATGTTGAATTTGAGATACCTATGGGACCTCCAAATGTAGAGATTTAGTACACAGCTAGTAATGTGGGACTAGCACTCAGGAGAGAAATGAGAGGATAAAGGAGATTTAGGAAGTATCCGCATGGATGATGGTTGGATCCTTGGATCCTTGGAGCTGGTGCTATCAAGAGAGAGAATATATATAACTTTGGTTTTCTTTGATGATTCACAAGGCATTCAGGGCCTAAATTCTAGTTGGGGGCAACTAGGAGGCACAATGGAAAGTATGAGACCTGAGTTCCAATCTGACCTCAGACACTTACTAGCTGTGTGCTACTGGACAAGACACTTAGACTATGTCTACCTTGGTTTCCTCATCTGTAAAATAGGAATGATAAAAATACCTCTCAGGGTTGTTGTGAAGATCAAATAAAATCATAATTGTAAAGTGCTTAGCATAGTGCCTGGCACATAGTAGGTGCTATGTAAATGTTAGCTATTATTATTAATTCAAACTCTGCCACTAACCAGCTAAATGACTTTGAGCAAGTCACTTTTTTCTCTCTGAGACTCAGTTTTCCAATCTGTAGAATGAAGGGGTTTGGATGAATAAATGAGTGAAAAACCATTTATTAATCACTTACTATGTGGCAAGCAACATGCTAAGCCCTGGGAATAGAAATACAAAAGCAAAGACAATTCCTGCCTTTGCACACAACACAGACAGGGAAATGGTGGCCAGAGAGAGGTACTATGGTCCAGAAAAGTGGGGGGGGGGGAAACAGAGGCAGAAACATGGGGGAAGAGAGATAGAGTGTAAGATATATATACAGAGAGAGAGAGAGAGAGAGAGAGAGAGAGAGAGAGAGAGAGAGAGAGAGAGAGAGAGAGAGAGAGAGAGAGAGAGAGAGAGAGAGAGAGAGAGAGAGAGAGAGAGAGAGAGAGAGAGAGAGAGAGAGAGAGAGATGGGTGTGGGTAAGGCTTTCCTGAAATAGTAATGTGAGAGAGGAAGTCACTAATCAAAAGAGGAGGGCCCCAGGGCAGACCATGAGAAGGCTTAGTCTATGGGAAATTTGGTTATGTGAGTTTGGGAGGGAGATGCAAGTTACTGAGGATATTTTTAAACTCCAAATCACATGACTAGATATTCTTTGGGCAAGACTAAAAACATGTTTTAAATGATTAACAGGTTGATCTCAGTTCAAGAATGATTTCCCCCTTTTTTTTGATAAGTTTTTTTTCTCCCTCAGTCTTAAAAAGTTTCAAGATGATGATTTTCCCTAAGAGAACTAACAAAACCTACACCAGTATCACCCAAATGAGATACATCTGTAGACTTAGTTTGCCCAAATGAGGCCAAAGTATGCATTTCTTTGGCCCCATCTCATCCATCTGGCTGGTTAACCACAGTACACCATAAGAAGGGCGGAAAGGATGTAATTAAGTAATGCCTTGTTCCCTTGACAATTAAACACAAATGCATTTTAATCATAACATTATACTGCATCCTGAGTCTCTGATTTTCCTACCTTACCTAGTGGGTTAACATGGTAAATATTCAATTCACTCCCAGGCCAGGAAAGTCCACAAACATTAGCTATTCTGCAGTCTAATCTGGACCAAAGTCAATGCCAACTCAAAATGTGTCAGTTACAGCTGCAGGCATCTGAGTTGTCCTGCCCTGAAAAGGCTGAATTTGAAAGGGAGTGGGGAAAGGAAACACATATACACATACACACATGCACACCCCAAAACCCACTAAGTAAAATATAGAAGCTGTGTTTCTTGAATCCCAGCTTGATTCTGAGACAAATAGTTACAGATCTATCTTCTCTTGTTTCACTTATTTGGGCATTTGTCTGATTTTTTTAATTGAATGTTTATTTTCATTCTAGTCCAATGTCCAGAACCAAGAGCATATTTGTGATCACTACATATTGGTATTTCCTTTCTTCATTTTTGTTCTCTCCCACTCTCCCTCTCTCCATTCTTTCTTCTTTTTAAAAAGTCATTATGTACTATTTTTGAACTGGGCCCACTTTCACACACTAAAATTCAGATGAAGGGGGGGAAAGAGGGGAGGAAATCCAGGGAAGTCCTGCCAACTGAAAGCTGCTCTGCTTTGGGAAGGAGAGAGGCACAGAGGAAAACACAGGCTGGGTTCTGATGGAGTGAAAACTTCTCTTCTCTCTCCCTTTCCTTAGACATCCCTGAGACTTCATACAGCCCAGGTTGAAGACTGGTTTTTTAAGTTAAAGTTAAATATTGAAGTTAAAATGAAAGAGGATATAGAGAGAAAAGAAGGGGAGAGGGAAAGAAAACAAAGGGAAGGGGAAGGAGGAATGATGGAGATGAAGGAAAAAGCCAGGAGGGAATTGGGAGAGGACAAATAAAGGAAAGAAAGAGAAAAAGGAAAGGAGAGGATGATGTTGGGGGGGGAACAGGGGAATGAGGAAGATGAAGGAAAAGGAAGGGAGGAAATGAAAGAAATGGAGTGGGAAAGAAGAGTAAGGAGAGAGGAAATAATAATGATCGAAGGTAAAGAGTGGGAAGGACTAAAAGAAGGAGATGAGTGAGGGAAAGAGAGGAGGGGATGAGGAGAAAGAAAGAGAAGGGAAAGAAGGACGGATGGGAAGGGACAAGAGAAGGGGAAAGAAAGTAGAGAAAACAAGAAGAGGGAGGTAATGAGTGAATACATAAGGGTGGAAATAGGGAGGGCCAGAGACTGAGGGAATGGAGAGCAGGGAGGGCCTGAGAATGGGCTCATCGCCCGCCAGCCCGCCCTCCCAGTCCCACCCTCTCTCTCCCTCCCTCTCTCCCTTCCTCGTCCCCTCCCTCCCTTGCCGGGATGCCCGGAGCCCTCGATTGAGGCGGGAGGTTCGGTAGCCCTCTCCCACCAGTGCAGCCAAGGCAGGGTCATGGGCAGCGGGAGCAGCAGGAGCAGGAGAGTGCGGAGGCAGTTGTGCAGCCCTGCTAAGAACCCAGGGGTCCCTGGTGTCCAGGAGTTGAGCGATGGGCAGCAGGGCACTGAGGCCTGCCAGGAGGAGAAGGACGCGAAGGATGGACAGGAGGAAGGCTCAAAGAAAGGGGCCCAAGGAGACTGCGCTGTCCAAGACTCTGAGTCTCCCCGAAAGGGGGAGGAGAATGAGTCGGAGTCAGAATCACTGCTACTGGACCAGGTATTGGCCGAGTCGGAAGCCTGGGACCCAGCATTCAAACCCTGGCCAAGTCGGGCCTCCAGCTCTCGGCCGGGGCCGAATCCACACCTGGGTGGGGCTCCCCACTCCCAGGCGAACCTCAGCAGCAGCGGAGAGCGCAAGGTGAGTGATGAGAGTCCGCCCCGTCCAGCCCCCATCCTGTCCAGTCCCCGGCCTCAGCCTGCGCCTCCCTTCTTAGTCTCTCTCCGCCTTCTGTAGACACTGCCCGGCTCCCCGCAACCTCCTTTCCGCTGACCTGCCAGCCAGTGCCTGGCTTATCCTTGCCGGGGCTTCTCCCTCACTCTACCTGGGCTTCCGATCTCTCTGATTCCCTTATGTCGCAAAACAGACCCTCCCACGCCTTGGACTCAAACATCTTCCCCAGAGGGAGGAGGGGGTCGGGGACAAGCTGAAGATTTCCCTTCCTGGGAACTTTCCTCAGAGCCTCTTCTCCCACCTCCGCCCCCGCCCCCGTCCCACTTCTCTTTCTCCTCCCTGAAATTTCACTCACTCCCCTCTCCCTCTCTTCCTTCCTTTCTTCCTCTCCCTCGTCTTCTCTATCTTTTCTCCCTCCACTTCGCCCCTGCATTTTTCTCTTCCTCCCTTTCTTCTTCCCTCTAAATCTCCCCCACCTCTCTCCATGGCTTCTCTTCTGACACAGAGTCATAGTTAGAATCCTAAATGATCTTGGCAGACTAGAACATTAGGCTGAAGCTAATAAAAGGAAATTTAATAAGAATGCATAGAAACTCTTACACTTCGGTTCAAAAAATTGATTTCAAGAATACAGAGGAGGCAACAGTTAGATAGCAGTTCATCCTGAAAAAAGATCTGAGGTGGACTGCAATCTTTTTTTTTTTAAGGCAGTTGGGGTTAAGTGACTTGCCCAGGGTCACGCAGCTGGCAAGTATAAGTGTTTGGTCTGAAGTCGGTTTGAACTCAGATCCTCCTAATTTCAGTGCCAGTGCTCTCTCCACTGCGCCACCTAGCTGCCCCGGACTGCAATCTTAATAAGTCAACCCTGGTATATGACAGCCAAAACCAAAGCAAAACAAACAAACAAAAAATGTTAATGCTTAAGACAATAGGGGGCTTATGGGAACTGATAGCCCCATTGTATTCTGTCCTGATTGGCCCACATTTGGAAGTGTATGTTCATTTCTTGGCATCACCTTTTAGAAAGGACATGGATAACTTAGATAGCTACCCAAGATAGGTGGCACAGTAGATCAAAAGGCTTCCTGCTTCAAAAAGCTGTGTGTCCCTGAACAAGTCACTTAACCTCTCTCAGCCTCAGTTTCCTCATCTGTAATATGGAAATAATTAATAATAGTACCTTCCCTCCAGAGGATAAAATGAAATAATATTTATAAAGTTCATTGCTATATAAATGCTAGTTATTATCATTGTTATCAAAAGAAGAGCAATCCAAATTGTAGAGGATTTTAGTTTAATGTCAAATGAGAATCCATTGAAGGAATTAGAGTGGAGAAGAAGGGAGGTGCGTAGTAGTGATGATAATTGCCCACTATCTTCAGGCATTTGAAAGGCTGTCATATGGTATGGAGATTAGATTTGTTCTGTTTGGCCTCAGAGGGCAGAACCAGGTGCCATGTATGGATGGTGCAAAGAGGCAATTTTGGGCTTGCTATCAGGAAAACTTCCCAAACTTCCCAAAAAATCCCAAAAATGAATGGGATCACTAGTTGTGTGACTCTGGGCAAGTCACAACCCCAATTGCCTCATGTTAAAAAAAATGAATAGGATGTCATGGGAGGTGTAGTGGGTCCCCCCCTTTGGAGGATATCAAGTGAAATCTGGATGAATACCTGTTAAGGAGGCTGTAGAAGGAATGCTTTGGGGTATAGGTTGGACTGGATTGCTGCTGACATCCCTTCCAACTCAGAAATTCTGTGATTCTATCTTCTCATTGTTCTGTGTGTGTGTGTCTCTGTCTCTGTCTCTCTGTCTCTCTCAATCTCTATCTCTTTCTGGCTTTGTCTATATCCCTGTCTGTGTGTCTCTGTCCCTATCTCTCTGTCTTTGTCTCTGTCTTTAGCACTGTTTCTCTCTCTGAATCTCTGCCTCTGTCTCCCTCCCTCTCTCTGCCTCTCTTCCATTCCCTATCTTCCTTTTCCTCTCTCTCTCTCCCTTTCTCTTTCCTTTCTAATAAACAGTTTAGGAGCTAAATGGTAGCAAGGACTTCAGTATACTAAAGTCAAAAGGGGTTTTCCTGTACAGTGAAGTTCTAGGCTGAGGCCAAAAGGCAAAGGAAGTTGGAATATTATGGTGCAATCTTAGAATCCACTACAGAACCTCAGAGGTGAAAGAAACCTTAGAGAACATCTAGGCTTTACAAGAAGAGAAGAAAACTGAGGCTTTCGACTAATCCAAGGAAGGTCACAAAGCAAATTAGTGGCAGAACTGGGTTTGGAACCTTCCTTTCCTTCTAAAGTAGCTACAATATTCCTTTATTTTGTTTTTCTTAAAAAAATGCTGTGAAGCCTATCTTTATGTTCCTTATTTCCTTTCCCAGCCACAATGATAATTCTAAAATAAAATGAAATAACACTTGGATTTGACAGTCTTTGCTTCCCTTTCCGTCTGAATGAACAGGGAATTAAGGTCTTTAACACTGTGGAGACTCACTTGATCTGGGAGTGTTGTCAAATGTAGCTAACATCTTCCCTCCAGAAGCATCAGCAGTGGGGTCTAGGGACAGAGGGAAAGTGAGCCATAAATATTTATTTGTAACTCAAAAGTTTTTCTCCACAATTATTTTTAAATGAAGTCAACTAAATCAGGACTATAAGGAGCTAGGTATCGCAATGAATAAAGTGCTGGATCTGGAATCAGGAAGACTTTAGTTCAAATCCAGACTCCAACACATAGAAGCTGTGTGACCCTGGGCAAACCACCTAACTCTGGCTCAGTTCCTTCAGCTGTATATGTGGTAGTAGTAATAATAATAATAATAATATTATCATTTAACTCCTTGGGTTATTGGGATGAATAAATGAGAATATTTGTAAAGCACTTTCTAAATCTTGAAGCATTATATAAATGATTATATTAATTATTCATCATTATAACAATGAACCTTTAAGACTGCATCAATATTCAATTACATAAAGTTTTTTTTAAGGGGTAACAGTTGTGGGAGGGAGAAAAAAGAAACCTCTCTCCTGAAGTGAATTTGATCTCCAAGTGGGGAGCCAGGTTTTAATGTTCTTTTGTTTCCTAAGGCCTCTGGACAACTCAGATGGTAACTGAGGGAAGACAAAAGAGAGAATGGTGCGTGTGTGTGTGTGTGTGTGTGTGTGTGTGTGTGTGTGTGTGTGTGTATTTTTCTGCAGTCTGATTAGATAAAGAGGATTAAGTATTGAAATTTGTTCTTGAAGTCCCTGGTGGAAGGACAGGGGAGAGACACTTAAAGAAAGATAATGCTCTCCTGAGGAAATGATGAATCTTTACAGACTACACCTTTAAACAGTGTATCCTTAGCAACAGCAGCCCCATCCACATGACACAATGTTCACCCTGGAAAAGACCTTAGAGATAACCTAAGTCTGAGCTGCTCATTTTACAGGTAAAGAAGCCATGATCCCTAGAGAGGTAAAGCAACTTACCTGAGATTACACAGGTAGTGAGTGATGGAGGCGAGGCTCAAACTCAGGTGTCTGGTCAGGGTTCTTTCCAGGGCATCATATGTCTCCCAGGACAGGATGATAATTATAACGATAACAGTAATAACACCAAAGTCTTAGATCTATAACTGGAAAAGACCTTAGAGGGCATCTAGTCCAACACCCTCATTCTATAGATGAAGAAACAGGTCCAGAAAAGTGGAAACTTGCCCACTTGGGTAAGTGACTTACCCAGGGTCACCCAGGTGGTAAAGATTTGAACTCAGTTCCTCTGACTGCTAAAGTCAGACCTCTTTTCACTGTAACACACTTGCCAAATCAACAAGCATTTATTGAATACCTACTATATACCAGGTGCTGTACTAAGCACTGGGGATATAAAAGAGAGGCAAAAGACAGTCCCTGCTCTCACAGTCTACTGGGGGAGATGCATACAAGTAGGTTTGTTATTGTTCAATCATGTCCAATTCTTTGTGACCGAATTTGGGGTTTTCTTGGCAAAGGTACTGGAATGGTTTGCCATTCCCTCCTCCAGATCATTTTACAGATGAGGAAACTGAGGCAAACAGAGTTAAGTGACTTACCCAGAGTCACATAGCTATGAAGTATCTTAAGCAGGATTTGAACTTAGTTCTTCCTAACTCCAGGCAGGGCACTCTATCTACTACACCATAGCATACAAGTAGGTACAAATATAAATACAGGATAAAATAGAGAAAATTACCAGAGGGAAGGCAATAAGATTGAAGAGGACCAAGAAAGGCTTCTTACAGAAGGTGATACTTTAGCTGATATTTGAAGGAAGCTGCTGACTCAATAATAGTAGTAATACTAATGATGCATTTATTTAGTATTTTCATTTACAGAGAACCTCTCAGCAGCCCTCTGAGGCAGGTGTTACAGGTGTTACAGGTGTTAGCATCCCCATTGTATAGTTAAGTGGTCACACAGTGCTTCAGTGTCCAAGGTTATACGTGGATGACTGGAACACAAAGATATGTGCTAATATGGCCCATGAGTGGAAACTGGTCTGTCTATAGTAGCCAAGACTTATCAATGCACGGAGAAAACTTGCTGTAGGTCTCATATGGTAATGACCAATATTTTAAAATCTACTTATAATGATACTTCATTTATCCATCATCATTGGAGAATTTGCTGTGCTTTATAGGTAAATTTTGCAAATGACTGAAACTGCTCACTTTAAATGTCCAACCTGTTATTTTCATGGAAATCTTTAAAATATATCATTGGCCTCCTTTCATTCTTCAACAGCCTGTACTTCCACCTCTTGATTCCAAGGATGGGGAGTGTTTCATCTGTGTGGGCATTTCCACAGGCCTAGATCTCACTTGCCCCTTACCCCCACCCCACCACACACACACACACACACACACACACACACACACACACACCCCTTAGTTGTGGCCAGAAATACTCCCATCCCTTTGGCCAGGCTTCTCCAAAGTTAACCAT